AGCTCCAAGGTAAATATTCCGATGGCTACACCTTGGATCTTGCAGCTGCTTGATCCTGGTACTACACACAGGACTCATTCCACTGACACGCGCAGGATGAGTCACATCCTGAAACTGGAAAACTGAGGATAAGCCTGCACAGTATTGTGATCAGCAATTCTGACTTCCCAGTCAGTACTGAAACTCCAGCAGAGGAGTTTCATGAGGGAACTTGCCCCCAGAGCTCCCTTTGAGGGCCATATGTGCTTCTCCCAACGCGCTCAGTGCTCTGCAGCCGGTGCAGTCTCCTCCAGGGCACAGGCTGTGCTGCACCAGGGGCTTTCCAAGTGTCAGCCTCAGGTGACAGTGCAACACGTGTGTGTGTGTTGTGTCTCACCGTACTCAAAGCAATCAAACTGGTTTAATTACCTCAATGCTTTTTTTATGCACAGCAATAAAACAGACGTGTTAAAGCTGAATCGTTAATCATTTGAGCTAAATCAATAAATAATTATCCGTGCCATACTACTGTGCTCATAAGCAAAACCTTCCAGACCCAAGACACACTGGAAATAAACAACAGATACATGGACACATGCAAGAAAGAAGAAAACAGACGTACCTCACAAAATGTGAGGAATGCTTTTTTCTCTAAGTGCATAATAGTGAGATTTGTGAAGTACCGGAGCTGTGAACTGAAAAACAACTACAGGCTTTTGAAAATTTTATTACAAAACCAGCAGATTCATAATTACCATATCTGGTATTATTTCTACACTGCAATTTTAAAGCTGACCAGACGTATACAAGGGCACACAAACATGAGCAAAGTGATGTGATACACTGAGGAGCAGTGACATGGGTCTTGACCTCTGTATGAGTTTCATGTAACAAATTTCCTGTAATAATCTAAAAGTTATGAGAGAATGGGGAACAAAAAATAGGCTCCAGTAACTGTCACCATTAAACTCCATTTTGATGCCCATGACATCTCAGAAAAATGCCTATTTAATTATCTCCTAATTAAGAGCTTTCCCCACCTCTTCACCTCTCAGCTCCCTTCCTCCTCTCAGATAACTCTGGGAGCTGGAGCTTTAAGAAGGAACAGCAATTATTGCAAGATTTTAAATAAAAGTTGCAAGGCATGGCAGCCCTGCTACTTGAATGTCTTCCTGTTCTAAACAGTCAGCTGTAAGTGTCTCCTCCACCGTGGTGCTCACCCCGAGACAGGACATCACAACTGGGCACAGCATCACCTCTGCAATGTGCCCAGTTGTTCCTCTTCCTTTGAAGAGGAGCCTTGATCTATTTTCAGCACGTTTCCAGGACTCACATCCTTACACAAGATTAAAAAAAAAATAAAAGGAAAAAAAAAGCAATGCTCCTCTAATAAAACCTACATAAGATAATGCAATTTTTATACTGTATGAAAATAACAATAAAGATTCAAGCTTTTGTAGAAATCAATGAATCTCCTATTTCAAAAGCTTCTGTGCAAACAATATTTTCTTGAACTAATAGTATACATTGAAGTGAAAATTTTAACTTTACTATAATTGCATAAATAGAGCAGTCACATTCCTCCAACAGCTACTCTGAAGATGAGATTTTAAGGCAGGGTTCATAAATATAGGAACAGAACAAAATAGCTTCTTTTTTGATAATTAAACAGTTAGCAGCTAAATTGCATTGTAATTGATTGGAAAATTGCTTTTTTAATGAGATGTAGTCACTAGGAAATGGCTTTTTTCTTCAATATGCCCGATGTGCACTGGGTCATTTAAACAGCAAATTGCCTTCCTGGGCTCTTCCATCGAGACTGAACTTTCTGCAAGAAAAGTTGCACCAGCAGCAGAGGGGTCCCAGCCTTGCCAGGCCCTGCCAGGCTCAGCCCCCCTGTGTTGGGCATCTGACACCCGCAGGGCAGAGGCAGGGATGGGCTCGAGGCAGGGCAGGTACAGGTGGGTCTCCTCACCCACCCAGGAGATGAACTCACACCCTGCCAGCTCTGCTGTCTGCTCAGCACTGGGGCAGGACTGGGAGCGACACTCCAGCACAGACCCCAGCCTGTGCAACCTAAATAGATGAGATAGTGTGGAAAAAAAAACTTAACTACCTTTTTAAAGATGTATTATTGTAGACCTAATGCACTACTATGATTAGTACAGAGCGTAAAAAGATAGAATGTGTCTTCAACACTAGAAAGGCCATGAAAATATTTGTTTTCAAGGATATACTCAGGAAACAGTGTAAAAGAAATCTTGTCCAGCTGTGTGAACAGCACTGGATAAGTATGTACTGAAAGTAAATTATCATTTGACAACCTGTTAGTTAAAGGAATTTTCCAAATGCTTCAGGAAAAAAAAGATTTTGAAGAATCCTGACTATTGTGAACAACCTATTATGCACAATAACAAATGCATTGTACGGTTAAGTCAGATTTTTATTGTTTTGTTTCCAAGATCTTTATTGATGTGACTTGGACTGCAATATAAACAGCAGTGATCGCAATCATTTGTTGCTGCCATAGCAACAGACAAAATTAAAAGGGCAAACTCCAAAGTTGAAGTGGCATCACGGTTGTGGTTTATAATTGCCTGACAGTAAAATGCTGTGTGCAGGGTGGCAGCAGCACTTGCAGGTATCTGTGAAGCAGATTTGCTTGCAGAGATCAAAGTCATTTAGGTCAGGTTCTGAAATAAAGGATGAGCACCAGCTCTCGTGTTTCTATCAGTTTTTTTCTCTCTCTCTTTGTTTCTACAGATTTAAATATCTGGAAAATGGTGGTAGACTTAAAAAAAAGAGTTCAGAGCAATCTTATGGAGATTTGGGTGATGTCTCCAGTCTCCATGCTTCTGATTGGGAAATCAGCTGTAACTACTACTTGCCACCTCTGTTCTGCATTTTAGAAAGTAGCAGAGAACACTTTCTGCCTCCATGCACCCCCTGTCCACCCTGAAAAAAAACCCAAAATGGAAGAAACATGCTGTCATGGCCTGACCTTGCAGCATAAGATGAAAATACACTCAAATAAAACCCATTGTCAGAATTTTCATCAAAAAGCATGTGAACCCACTTCCTCTGAAACACCTCTAAATGTAAGGGCATATTTTAAGTATATTTTTGTCCTGTTTTCTGGCTTTGACTAAAAGAGATGAGCCAAGAGCCTGGACCTGCTGGGTTATCCAACTGACCTGCAAAAATGCACGTGAGATCTGCATCTCTCAGCTCCAGGTCTCTATAAGAGGTAGGAAAAAAGCCCCTCTTCCCACCTTTTCCCTGCTTTATATATTTGGATAATCTGTTCAGAGCATCACTTTCCTCATGTGTTTACACACTCCTGAAAATTATGGAGCCATTAGCACAGCTGGGGGAAAGTGCACAACTCATAAAAAGAATAAATAAAAGTTCACCATCTTCTGTCAGCCTTCCAGAAGGACAGAGGTAGGGATCCCATGGACCCATTTATGCACAGAGATGGGTCTGGTGAGAAGTACAAGTAATGTGTTGAGGTTGTTTCATGAACTGTTCATCAAGCACCTTTGGAAATTTGGTCTTGGAAGCACAAGCTAAAGGTAGAGCTCGGATTTTCAGGTATGGCTGTAATCAGGCATCAAACCGTTTAAAATTTCCAATACTAGACAGAGTAGAAAACGTGTTTTAGCAGCACAAAAATATTTAATGACACATTATTGACCTCTGGTAAGTGTCAAGCCCTGGAAATTCAAAGCCATTTTCTGTCCTATAAAGGGCAACTATAAATTGAACTTTTAAACTTGAATTAATTTAATGGCCCTTTATCAGCTGTTTGCTGGACATGAGGACCAAAGGCTGAGCTGGCCCATTCTGATGGAGGATCTACTTCTGCAGAAACACAAGGCACTTGACCATGTTAAGTGCCAGAAAGCTGAATATGAGTCCATAATTAACTGCCACCCTCGTCCAGCTCAAGAACTGGCCAGGCAACCTCTGGATTTGTGACTTCATCACCTTAAAGAAAACCCGACTTGTGAGCACACTTTAGTAAAACTTAGTAGGCAAATTCTTAGCTGATGGGGTAGATACAGCTTTAACTCAAAGATAAATGGAAGTGCTCTCAAACACTAAAAAAGCAATTTTAAGAGGTCATGAACAGGTTCTGCTTTCCCTACACAGCAAAGTGGTGTGTTGCTTTCATCCACGGAGTGCAGAGCCCTCCTCCACAAAGCTTTGCTGCAGGGAAACATCAGGGCTTCTGCCTGCTCCTACAGCCCTGCACACCCCAGAGCACCATTCCTGGGACAGGGACAGGACACCATTTCCCCAGGTGACACTACACTGCCAATTCTGATCTGACTGAGAAAATAATGTTTTCTGAAATTAAACTACAGTGCCTCTAACTTCAATCCTTTTCATTTCATTAGACCTTTGTTACAATGACAATGGAAGGAAAATAATATTGCCTAAAGGCATCCCAGCCATGAGTGACAGCAGACACAGTAATGTGCATAATTACAATATTCATAAGTAATTTTTCATTATAATTAACAAAGACAACTGTCTTCTTTTGTTCTGATTACCTAAAGATATGTTAAAAGTAGGTTTGCATAATTAATTACCAAATATAACGTTCCTTACAAATCCTTGGAGGTTATTCCAGGGACCTTGTTTGAGGAAGTCATCTCCATAATAAACATTATCTATCATTTCAGAGCTTATAAATTAATTGTGGTGATGTAAAGAGAAATACAGCCTGAGCATCAAGCAGAAGATGAAGCCCTGGAATTATTACTGGCAAATAAAAAGCAAACTTACAGGAAGCTGAGAAGCCTCTTTGCCAATTTAGGGGACTTCTGCAGGGCCTGTGGCAGCTGCCCCAGGCTCAGCACTTGGCCACACCAGGGGGAACATATTTGCTCAGCAGGGACCTCACAGACACCTTGGTGGCTTCTAAAAGTTCAAGCATTAATGGGAGAAGAGTCCTACTTTTTATTAACTAGAAGCAGTCCACAATAAACAGCTTAAACTCCTACTCTAGACAGTTATTCTTTGGTAAAGTTTATTTAATACAAGGTTCTACTTCCCACAGTTTACACCATTTCTTTGACTTTTTAAATAAAACTTTAAAGAAAAGTCCATAAAGAAAATCCAATAACATATTTTATAATAAAATATGCATGCTTTTATGTCATAAAAGCAACATAAAGCAGATTTATTGAACATTTTAAAAGTTTGAGCTCTCGATATGGAACTACAGTGAAAGCTCAGGCTTTTGAAGAATTAAAACCATTTCCAGTGTTTCCACCAGCCATGTTATATGTGCTTTGATAATTTCCACAATACTGAAGCACAAAATCTCTATGAAGGATGAGCAACTTGATATCGTTCAGTTTATTTTAATGTCTCCTCAAAATTATTTGCATACTCCCATATATTTTTCTATTTGCTAATGCCATAAAAATAAATGCTTAAATAAAAATAAATTTGCCATTCATCAATTTTTAGTGCAGTTTGTTGCTTCTCCAACAAAATACTCAATGTGGGATTCATCTTTATCTGTTATGGTGCATGTTTACATTTATGTACTTGACAAGGCAAAAAAGCGCAGGCAATTCAGTTTAAAATCCTATTTTGTCACATTTCATTGCCCTCTCCAGACTGGAAATAAATACCTACAGGGTTGGATCACTCCAAAAATAGGCTTATATACATTATATATTTTCACTATGCATCTGTTTTGGGCAGGGGCAGCTGAGTTGGGGGTGTGTGGTTTATTATTTTTGTGAGCTAAGTTCACAAAAAGGACACAATTTCAAAACATTTCTATTCCACACCTGTTGGAAGCTGTTTTGGGCTGACATGTAATCAGTCACTTTCCTTTATGCCCTCATTTTATTTCCCTTTTATTGCGTTCTGTATTCTTTAGGTTTAAGCTGATCCTCTTTTCCTAAACTATTCTTCTCCCCTGACATGTACCTTTGTCTCTCACCTACATCACTGTGAGATGCATTAAAACCACCTCTTTACTAGGAAACCATCAAGAAAAAGATAGCTTGCCCTTTACATAAAAGCCAGCTTCTCAACCAAATTACCAGGTCACAAAAGGCTGTAATGGATTCTCCATTCAAAAATGACATCAGAGAAAACTTATGCAGTACACAGTTTGAATTCAAGCAAATGCTGAAAACCTTTTCTGAGGTTCTTATGAGCCAATACCATTCAAGTCTACATGTTTTTTTCCTCGTGCCTCCAAACCAGCACAGCTCAGTGTCATGGAGCTCTGCAGAACAGCCACAATGAGAACCAGCCTAGCACTGATCTGTGTACCCACCACCACTCTTACCAACCTTTACAAGTTACTTTTAAAAGAGCAATTTTCACTCCTCACATTCAACTCTACTCAATGTTTCCTCTAACACCCATGCCAGCTCTTCACATTTGCAAGTCTCTATAAAAAGTATATTTCTTATTCCTGAAAAGCATCTTCAATATGCTGATGGTGCTGGCACTGGGCTCCAAGCTCCACACAACAGGTGGAATTTTCTGTGGAAAATTCCCTACAGAACAGTGTAATCTGACCTGCTACAATAACAATCAACTTTCAAGAAGTTTGAGCCTTAGGGATAAGTAGCTAAAGGCAGAACAAACTCTCAGAATCAAGAAGAGATATCAAACCTTCATCACATTTGATAGAAAAAGTTATTTTTGGCACAGCAAAGACTACTAGAAATTACTCTATTCATCAGCCTTTCTCCTCTGAGATGTCTGGATGAGCTGGAGGGAACAGTGCACCAGTCAAATCTGATACAGCCACTTGTGATAACCCTGTCCTCCCCCTCTGTGACATCTGGATATAAGACAAAGCATGAAGTCTCATTTCCTCACACTGCCTCCAGTCATGGAAAGCCAGACTGGATATTGTGTGCAGGCCTGTGGGAGCAGCCACATCCATTCCATGGAAATGAAAACAGGTGACACCTTCCTCTAGGGAGCCAGAGAGGAGCAGACAGCTCCTCGTGCACACCCTGCCCTCCGCCTGTGGCCTGGGCCTGCCACTGCTCACACACGGGGCTCACTGGGATTTTATGCAGTTGCAGGATACCAATGGCCACAGCACAGGGATGAATTTCCTTCAGCTCTGCTGCCTCTGCAAGGTTTGCCATCACTTGGGGACATCTCTGCCTACCTTAGTCCACTTACTCACCCACTGGTTACTTGCACTTTTACTGCAAATTTTTCTTTCTGAATTGCAAGGACATGTGTTCATAAACCATAGGAGATGACAGTGTTGGTCACCTATTAATTAGTTTGCTTATTTTTTGATTTTTTTTTCTAAATAATCAGAAAAGTACTTGAGCTCAAGTTTCTGCTTAATTTTATCCCAATGTGACTTAAGGCACATAGAAAGCCCTTCAGCAGCAAATGAAGAGATGTCAGTCACAGAATCACAGATTCATAGAATATGCTGAGTTGGAAGGGACCCACAAGGATCATCAAGTCCAACTTCTAACCCTCCATGAGGTACTACACAAGTTACATGGGTGGGTGTGGTTTGTAAAATATATGCTGCTTGTTTTTTCTTTAGCATGCTGAGGTGATATGGGGGCCTTGTGTTGGTTCAACAGATGACTTTTACCCTCTGGATTATCGAAAATCCATCCCATAGAAGACACCAGTAAATTCTGAGATCCTGCACTGTCTTTTGCAACAGAACCACTGAGAAGCAGCAGTGGACAAATTCAAAAACAGGTCATTCAGCTTCTCCCCATCAGCTCACTGCAGGGTATATTGTCAGTTTAATTTCCTCATTTAGTTCCTTCTGCTTCCCATAACACTGCTTTTGAATCAGAACAGTGTCTGGGAGTAAGATATGCCAGCTGGCTTTGCAATGTTTTGTACACACAAAATTCCTGCCTTCAAATGAGATTAACCTTTGAGGAATATTAATATACACACAGCACACAGCATAGTGAGGAGCAGCCACCAGCACACAGCACTGAGGAAATGGACAAATACAAGGTGTTCTTCATTCTAGTGTCTCAGAGACTGGTGTTAAAGTTTTCACTATGACAAAGGATTGTTTAAAAAAATACTGTATGGAGAGGCATGTAGGTAAGGTTTCACTGTGGAAGGAGTGTCATACAGAATTAGATTGCCTCCTGCCACTGTCAAAGAATAAAAATGTGTCTTAAACTTCAAGGAAAAACACTGAAATCCCAGTGATTTGAAACCTCAGCAGTGTTTCAGGATTATGATGCCATTTCCTCTGAGTACTTGTCCTGGTAAGGCTGAGCTTCCTTTTCTTGCACAGAAATATATTTTTAATCTAATAATAATTTTCTTCTTGGTAAATATAACCTATGTATTTTTTTTAAGAAACAGACAATAACGAAACAAATCCTCATTACCAAGCAGAATGACGGCACAGTTACTTTTATGGTTTCTCTAGTATCTTCCGCTTCCATCTCCTGGGACAAATCCAGGCCGAGCTCAACAAGCCTCCCCTGTAGCCCAGGGAAGAGCACGTTGGGTCTTTATTGCCATCTAGTGACCGAAGGGATTGCACTGGCACGGCGAACACGTTTGGGAGCTTTGAAACCAACGACTGCTGCTTCCCTCTCATCCTGAACTTTGTGCTACCCTGGTACCGCATGCCTTGCGGACCTTGGAGCTCAGGTTTGCAGACGTCTGGGCGCTGCTGCTTCCATACTTTCATACTCTGCAAATGAACAGGCCCCTCGCCCTCCCTCTGGGGCCCGGCAGCTTAGACAAAGGCCATTCTGTGAAACCGAAGAGCCTTGGCACTGAGTTTAGGAGCAGGGTCACCACGCCGGGCAGCACCTCCAGCACCACGGGGACATCTGGGGTGGCCGTAACAGCAATCTCCTCACCCTGGAAGAGGTGATCGTCAGATTGTTTGCAGGAGTTTTAAAGATCCTCATAGAGCTGTTGTGTTTCGGAGGCTCTCTTGGTGCCGAGACAGAGTCCTGGCAACATGTACCCTTGCACACAGGGCACCAGAGCAGGCCAGGTGACTGCAGCTCCAGGCCACGGACTCGCTGCACTCTGTACCCAGGTCATGTTGTCCTTGCCCCAGCTGGGAGCCCGACGGTGTCAGTCCCCGCACGGTCCCCATGCCCGGCGTGTGCAGCCCCGAGCTGGGCGGGCTGCCCGGGCCCCTCCCGGCTCTCCTCCCTCCCGAGCCGGTGCCGCTGCCACCGACAGCCACACGGTGACACTGCAGCACCGAGCGCCGAAAACCCCCGAGGGGCTCCATGGAGGAGAGGAAACACTTCCTTAACAGGCCGGGCCTTCTCACCCCTCCACGGGAAAGGGCTATAAGGCTAAAGCCGGCCTTGTGCTCTAATGTAGGTTTGTGGCCCTTTTCAGACACGGTCACTTTGGTCCCTGTCTTGCAGTGTGACTCCATGTGCTGTCACAATAACCTGTGACAGAGCAGGATGACAGTCTGTAGTGGTCCTGGGGTAACAGGGATGGTTGGTGTGAGCACTATCCCCTTACCTGCCTGTTCTTGCCCATTTGCTGTCCTGTGAGCATCCACTCACCCTTCATGTTTAACTCCCACCATTTGGCTCTATCAGTTTCCACTTGTATTTCAGGAGACAAACACCCTCAGTTATCCTGGGATGTGTCTGCCATTTCCAGAGATGAAGATGTTTGTGCTGCTCCTAGGTTCAGTGGTTCACTGAAGTGATGAAGAGCAGGATTTAATGTTTTCTAATTTCACTGGGCCATGTTTTGATAAACACCCAAGTTCTCAGCTCTCATGAGAAGAATTGGTGGCATTCAACATGACAAGGTATTCTGAAATTCCTTATTTCCTTCTCTCTCTCAGAAGATATATTTTAAAATAAGCTGCTCTCCTTGCAGAACCAGGTGGCAAAAGGACATTCCTAAGGCAAGCTTGCACAGGAATATTTGAAACAACACCTGCTGAGCCCCCATCACTTTTACAGTTTTCTAGTGAAACCTTTAAATGCTTCTCTTGATAAGGAATAAAAAATCTGAGTCACTCTTTGTTCTTAATCCAGAGTAGCAAGTCTGCACTTTTATTTGCCGATAAAGCTATATTTCCACAGGGCCTTTTGCTAAAGCTGAGCTGAAGATTCAATCTGAAGACGTGCCTCTGTTTTCCAGATTTAATCACAAATGCTGTAGAAAGAGTCTCCTGAAACCAAACAAAGCCCAGTTATGAGTGTTTTTAAAGTTTCAGGTTTACAGCCTTCCTATGTCATCACTCAGTTGAACAATATAAAACCCTTACAATGCAGTTCAAATAATTCATGTAATTACCATGTACTCACTTTTATTTCAAGACCAGAGTCCTGTAATTCAAAACTAGAGAAACTGCCTATTTCTCACATTGGTGCTTTCTCTCTTTAATTCACCAGGAAAGAAAAGTTTTGCAGGGAGAAGTAATACATCATTTACTGAACCAAGCAGAAAAAGGACAGATTGAGAACAACGGCTTTCAGTTTCACTTAATTAAACTGGACCGAGAGGAAATAACTCTGCCAGGAACTGAAAACCAGAGAAGGATGTTCTGGTCTCTGCTTCAGTAGGGAAAGTACTGCACTGTTCAAAGTAGCTTAATTTGTGAGGCACAAGACATGTTAGTTTGAGTCAAGAGAGCAAAAACACACTGGCTCTGGAGCAATACTTCCTTAGTGCAACCTCACAGAAACCCACTGCGTGTTGGAATCTAAAGAGCTTTGTGATACTCTGCGTATTAGCTTGTGTTAGATATACTCCCTCTTGCAAAATGTTCCTGTTAACACAGTGTAGAATAATCCTGAATTATGAAATCTATTCTAAATTTCTGAAATTCTGCGATACCTTTTTCCCCATGGCTTGATTTTTGTTTCATCCTAGCATTTTGCAAAGTTGTCCAATGCAGACATTTGATCTAGAAAAATAAGTAACAGTCATATCAGAGGAAAATTTAATATTATATTCAACAAGCCATCATATTCAGTAGCGAGGCAACTGGGCCCCTTTGTTGGGATGGAAGATTATCTAGAGCTTAATATCTGATGCAGCTGAGATACAGTCCTACTATTTGCTTAGCAGGAACAACATCAGCCCTCAGCAAATAAGGACAGTTGCTGAAGACTTTCCAGGATATGAGCTTAAAATTAATGGCCTGAGTCGTCATTATTTTCCTAAAACTCAAGCACATTATAGATCTTGTTTGTGTAGATGTAAGCATAAATAGTCAATGGAATTAACAAATTCCACACTTTATGAACAGCGTGTACCTATGGCCAACATATCAAGAAGTTTTGGAATGCAGAGATGGGCACTAGGGTCCTGGGCAGTGTGAAGATAAGTAGTGACTGTGTAGGTATGGGCCTTTCCAGATAGGAGGCCAAGTCCAGTGTGTGACTTCTCACCTCATGTTTCCGAAGGGTTGGAAGTGGCAGTAGAATGTCGCAATGGTCACAGGTCACCAGCATGTCAAAAGACTGAGTGTCTTTAAGAGCTTGAGGTGATGTGGAACATCCGCCTCTTGTGGGAGACAGAAAGCCAATCTTTTTGTTCTTTAAAGGTTTGGAGGTCAGTGGCTGCTCCCTTTCTTTCCCTTTGGGACGGACATCTTTCCATGCCATTGCATTTTCAGAGGAGGAAGAGGGAGCCAGGGAGGAAGAAGACCGTGGTGGAGCACCGATGAGGCTTGAAGCTGACTGGCCAGCAAGAACTTTTGTCAGCTTATGGGCTGCATTGCATTTATTCTGTTAAAAGAGAGTATGCCCAATGAGGTGAGGATTGGCACTGCACCCAACCCTGTGGCCATGCTGTGATTTGGGACAGAGGTGAGGCCTGGGGAGGGACCTTGGACAGCCCCTCCCAGTGATGCTTCAGTGCAATGCACTGTATCATGACACTATGTTTGAAAAGCCAAGACACACTGCCCTTTCTTAGCTAATATACAGCTTTTTGGAGAAATAACCTGGCTGGAAATTAAGCACAAACCATGCTCTTGCTCAGTTTCAAATATGCTTACCAGATGTTGGGAGTACTGGTCATCTGGGAATAACTTACTGCACTTCTGACAAAGATTGCCACCAGTACCTTCAGAAGGGAAAAAAAATTAAGAGAAACAAAGCATTGACCCTAGTTATCCAGACAGGCTGCTCAGATCCACTTAGAGTCTCTGGTTCTACAGAAACATAGAATGCTGATTCCACTGGTCAAGAAGAAATTTGAGCTATGACTTCATTTTGCTTTTGGCACAAACGTAATCCACCTTCCCTTCTCAATTTCAGGATATTTGAAATTCCATTCCAGTCCCATGTTTTGTGTCTCAAGATGCTTCACTCTTACCCTGGCCCAGCTAATTCTGTTGCCAGGAGGGTTTGCTCTCTATAGTTTATTTTGCCAACCACTGCACCTACTGATGCCTATTCTTTTCTGGAATAATTGACTAGATTCATTAATTTTTTGTCTTGACATACTCTGTCCAACACCTTAGGCCTAATAAAGCTGCTCTCAACTTCAAGAAATCAAGGTATGCATCCCTGGCTTTTGTGTACAAAGTGGAAGGAAGTTCTAAATCACATTTTCTCCTGTGCAACAAATAGAAAGATGAACAAGTTTCACTTATTTTCTGACAGAAGGAATTTCTCTTCCAGAATATAAGAGAGGCATAAAAGAACATGGCCGATGAGCTACCTGTCAGTGGACCCACACTGGCTTTACAATACCAGCATAATAGAACACAACACTTGGGCCTTTCACCATGGCTGGTTAAACAACAATCAGCTCCAGGCTGGATTACCAAGAACTGTAGAGAAGGCAGGAGAATTTTCATTGAGATTTAACAGTTGACCCAGTCCGTGACAATGAGGAATTTTGCTTACCAATGGGGCGAATAACTGTTGCATTAGTGGATGCTTCACTGGTTTGAAAGTCCACATCCTTATGATAGGACAGACCACTGTTTGGACAGATCTCCTTGTGTTTGTGCTGGTCCTTATACATGATGTATTTGTTACACTCCTGACACCTCTCTGTTCGGCTGGCACAGGTGTCCAGGTGTTCCTGTAGCTTGTTGAAGGGCATTTCAAGGTCACAGATGGTGCATTTCATGGCTCGTTTTTGGCACTCCTTGTTCTGTACATGAATAGACAAAATTATTGCAAATTTCCTATCAATATTGAGAGAGGGCATTGAGTGAGAGCAATGAGTGGCTGTTTAAAAACATTCTCCTTAAGGGTTATCTATAAAATCAAATGCAGGCATAGCTGCATTAGCAGTTCATCTGTCTAGGCTATCTTTATCTTAGGATGATTTAGGCAATATAAGGCAAAATGAGAATCAACAGCTGTGAAGATGTTCTGTGCCAGTACAGGTCAGCAACAGAGCACAAGGTCACCTAGAAAATTCCAATACTTCAGCTACCACTGCCACAGGAAGGCTGCTGTGTTTTCACTGCTTTAGTTCCTTAAAATGGTTAGACTACAGCTAGCATGGACAGACTGCTCTCACTTCCAGCCTCTGCGAAGCGTTTTTGTGTATCTTCTCTCATTGACTCTCACCTTGTATAATCACTCATTCAGAGAAGCAGGCAATATGAGTGTGGGGGCAGGACAGAAATGTCTTGGAGGAGCCCGCAAAGAACATCAGATCGAGATATCAAGGATGAGAAAGTAATAGACTATCTCCTGGAACAGACTGTCCCATCACAACTGGATGGGCAACCACCATGGGCACCCACTTCATTACAAGGGGGGAAAGTATGCCAAAACACTGCAGCTCTTCAGAGATTTAAGTTTCTTCATGGTCCAGGACAGGAGTCAGGGATTTACATGTTTTTGCTGTTGAACACATTAGAGTGACTTTTGGTGTCTGATCAAAAGGGTCAGCCTGGAAGTAAAAAGTACTGCACTCCATACTTACCTCATGATGCTCCAGCTGGTATTGCTGCATACTTTGGTGACAAAGTCTGCATCTGATCTGCAAGCAGAACATACAGAAGTTCACTTGGAGCACAGAAGGATGGTTGATGCTGTCATATATCAATAAGCTTCAAGCTCCTGAGATCTTCCTGTCATTTTCATCCCAATCATCAACCAGTTGTTGGTGAATTTTTGTTTCTCTGTCTGGCCTGAGCTGAGTTGATGAGATTTTGAGGAAAACAGGTGTCTGATGATTTTTCAAAAAACTGGCATTCTGTGTGAGGATCCAGTTCTCAAAGATACCCATATGAAATGCAAAGTGTGATGTGAAATAGCATGTATTTAAAATTTTGACCGAGTTTTAACTAAAAAATATAGGTATGATATTCAGCTAGTCTAAATTATAACAACCAGTCTGAAAACATTGGAGGTAGGCCAGTTTTCTAGAGGTTTGCCATGAGAGTTACTCATGTGTTCTGTTAAGTAACTGAATTCAACGGAATTGCTAAAACAATGCAACCAGTAAGACAGAATAAAAAAGTCATGCCTGTGTATTCATGCTTCACCATAGTGCCTCTAGCTACAGAGTTCTTAATGCTACACTAAAAATGCTACTGCCTTCCTGTATGAAGAGCTGATAAATGCACTCTGCCAGTTCAGCTTTTGTTAAAAAGGTGAGTTGATGTCAAAGCTCTGTACAAGCAAGGTTCATGTCAGATCAGGTACTGTCTGTCTTCCTCTACTCAGATCATTTGCCCTGCCTGCTCAGGCTAATTCACAAGCACTAGGAGCACATATCATCTGTAGTTTATACTGCTGAGGAAACTGAGATACGGCAATAGAAGCTTCATTCTCTTAAGCTAAGTGTGCAATAAGATCAGAAGATGTTGTAACCAGGCCTAAAGGGTCATAGCAGACCCTTACAATTTTTCTGGTCAAACAATTACAGAAATTTAAAGCTGGTTAATATAGAGCACAGTAATGTGAACATACTACTTCAGGGCTGGAAGGGCTCTTTGCTAGTTGCAAGAAAACCCCAAGGAACATGTAGCATTCCTCACCTGTTTGTGTGCTTCTGTCCGATGGTCTTTCATATCCTTTTGAGGAACTGGTTCATCACATTCTGGACAGAGGGTAAGAAACCGCATGCAGTGGGCCTCATGGAGGGAGAAATTGGCAGCAGACACATCTCGTTTACTATCGAGCATATATGGGAGAGAAGAGTAAATGAACTTTTTTCCTTTGTTACCAAATAAAATTGAGGTTAAGCTCATGCTTAACCCTTCTAAGTTTGACTCTTCTTTTTAATTGCAGTGCTTCATTGCCTTCATTCATATAATTTTCCCAATGGCCTTGCTACTGTTCAATATACACCAAGCTATGCTACCCTCATGGCCCCTTTCAGCCTTCTATTCTATGAGAAATGGTCAACTACCCTGGAAAAAATGAGTATTTTATCACTTAATTGCAAATATAGCAAGAGAAAGAACCATCAGTCATGGGGGAAACTGAGGCAGCTGGTGGGTTTGGCATGGTTCATGCACTGACTCTTTTCTCTGCCAGATACTGCAAAATTGCCCACAAAGGTATTCTGTAAAAAGAGAATATGCAGCAGAGGAGAGAACTGTGGAAGAAACATCTGCACAGCAAAGCAACAAGAGTACAGCATCCTGGAAACGTAAAAATGCATTCAAAATATTTTTGTTTCCTACTCAATAGCTAGTGTACTCATGCGGTGTGGTTCTTCCTCTGCTCCCCCTCTTACAGGAGACCTGGATAACACCAACGAAAATCCTAAAAACTCTTGAAAGCCCCCCTTTTGTAGGGGTGGAGAGGGTGAAAGATCACTTACCAATTTTTGCAGAACCTGTTCTCTCCTGTCATTTTTCTTTTTATTTTACTGGATATCCTTTCTTCTAAGAGCAGAGAGGAATCTAGGAAACGAAACTGAAAGGCTCTGTTGCAGTAACTCCACCCCAAACAGCTGTTTGGCCAAAAATTCTTTAAAGGAGAAACAGCAGTATTGCCAGGCAAGTATTGGTTATTGGTTTTAGGTGTGAATTCCACACAGATTAGTTCGATAGTCCTTAGAGAAACTCCGGGGTCTCAGTTTCCTTCTTTCCCACATAAGTTTGATTTACAGTAGCTTGTTCAGCAGCTGGCAGGGTTCCTGGGCCTGACCGGTCTGTGCCCTCAGCCCCTGCCCTCACAATCCGGGCACGGCCGCACCCTCCGCCCGAGGAACCGAGGAGCCCGTGGCGCCCTGAGGAGGGGCCTGAGAGCTCCGTCCGGGCCGCGGGGCCGCAGCGTTGAGGGCAGGGGCACGAGGCCTTCCCTTCGCCTCTTGGGGGATGGTCACGGTAGTATCCGGCCCCACAGACCCACCTTGGCCTCCCTGGGACAATGCTGTCTCCCTCGGACAAAATCAGCCAGCTCGTGGGAGGAGGTGTTCGCCTTCCATCACAACGGGGGAGGAACCCAGGGCCGGCCGCCCCTCCCCGAGCCCGCGGCCGTGCCCCAGCAGGTCCCTACGCCTCTCTGCTTCCCCAGTGACCCTTGGAGCACTTCAGGGCATCAAACTGCGTGCCAGGTGAAATTTCCAACCCCTATTTCCTTCCTGGGGATACTCTGCTGTGGTTGGGATGGACCGACAGCACCAGAGGCCGCAGGAGCAGCAGGTCCTGTCTCTTGCTGGACCTCAGCATTGCATTTTTACGTAGGAAATTTTAGAAGAAATATAAGTTAGAGAGAAAAATAAACAGAACTTCACGTTTTCAACGCCGGTACCAGTACCTTCAGGACTTTCTGATGGAAGGCCAAGCATTTGTGTACCTGCTGCTACAATAGATCCCTTCCAGCTGTATGATAAGCGCCGTCTCTGATGTGACAGACCCTGCCCAGTGTGGAAAAATGATATACAGGAGACGCAGAAAATATGAACTGACCTTTTTTGTCTTTGAAATTGGGGCAATAATATTAATTCTTCCACTTTGCAGAGGTATTGGAAAGAATAATTCACTAGTCTTTGCATAATGTTTCAGATAGATATGCCGTAGACAACAGCTGTCACAAATGCTACTCAGAAATTAGTGTGGTTCATTTCCCATCTAAACAAGCCCCTTCTGTCCCCCATCTTTCTCTGGAAAAAATGAAAAAGGGAGCGCAATAAACCATTATTAGATCTGGGAATAATGAATGTTTATCTGGATTTTGTAACACAAATTATGTAATGAAGCAGAGAAAAGGCTTTTGAAAAAATATGTTAATGAGATGGCAGCTAAGGGAGAGGTTACAGAGCTGCCAATTTTGAATCAAATTTTAATGTGATTTTCTTCTGGATCTTTTTTTCTTTTGTTATCATTAGCCTGCAGAGCACTTGAATGTGGTTTAGGGCTTCATGCAAACTATGCAGGACCAATTCTAGGTCAAGAAAGCCTGATCAGCAACACAGACTGAGAAAACCCCACTGACTCAAAATTCATAATGAGAGCTTTTATGTAGAAAGTTGTTGGGCACAGGGATTGTGCTGAAAGGACTGTTCGTTCAGAGTCTCAAGAGCTTTTCTTGGAAAAATATCAGATGCTCCACTGGGAGCTTAGTTGAAAGCTACTCCTGAGCAGCACAGTGGACTGCCAGTAGCTGGGAAAGCCTGATTGGAGGGAAAATGGAGAGCAACGAAACAGTGGTTTTCTCTGAATGCCGGCAATAACTCTATCCATTTAAATTCTGTGTAAACCTTCAAGTACATAATATTACTGTACAAGACCTTCTCTAGGCATCTTTTCAAGGCAGACATCACACAGAGGTAAGTTTTGAGCTGGTTATTTTTTAAATGATTTTCAAAAGCCTAAGGAGAAACACTTCTTTTTCTTTTAAGTCCTAGAATGTCTCGGGGTCAGTTGTTTTAATTTTTGTTTCTCAGCATCAAGTATGATATGTCTTACAGTCCTTGTTTAATTTAATTTTGTTAAAACTTCTGTACCTCTGGGTACATGAGCTTGCAACATGAAAGAACTTTAAAAAGAATGTGAGGAGAATTTTTATTGTGAGAAGGAGTAGCAGTTATCTAGGTCAAATGGACTGCTTTAGAACAAGCAAACTGTACTTGTATGCTTGGGCAGCATTTGAATTAGAGGCAGAAAATATGTCTATCTGTAATTAAATGAACCAGCTGCTGCCTGTAAAGCCTCCTTGGCAGTAATAACCGGAGTAACTGGGATAATTGGCTTGTAGTGAGTGCGATATATCAGAAAAGCAGCTTCTCAGGAATGAACTAAACTATAATAAAATCTTTATTTTCCAATTTTTCCACCTGGACTGATGACCCTGGAATTCCTACCTTCCAAGTGGAATTGATTTCTAGTCCCTTTCTAATAACCCAAAAAATGCAGGTCACCCTTTTTTAACTGGTCTTCAGCAGTGTCCCATTTCCAAGTAGAACTCAACAGTGGTTCATATCATTGACTCTGGTATCTGAAGTACAAAAGGGAAGATTGCAAGACTCTGTGTATGGTTTGACAATGCTGTCAAGTTTATCTAGGCGTTTGCTGTCTTGAAAGGTGCGGCTGTTCCTGTCCCAGCTGTTCCTGTGCCCAGCCATAAGTGGCCCATTCTCTCGAGCTGGCTCTGGTGCTCACTGAACACTTCACTGAACCTACTCACCTCGCTCACAGCAGAAAAATGTTCTGCTTTCTTTATCAAGTTAAATCAAATAAGCCCCAAAGCCCCCAGCTGAGAAATGGCAAGAAGGCCAGGGCAGGTTGGTGTCAGTGAGCCACAAGATGGGCTTGGCTCTGTTACTCTAACCCTTGGTTCTTGGCATGCTTCAAAATACCTGTGTTTATTAGGGCAGCAGGACAGCAAATGGGAGCAGTGGTGTCTAGCAACCAGGAAAAGGGATTTCAGGTACAAGAGACCTGATTCAGCTCCTGGTTCCAACTCATGTTATCACCCACGCCTAAACCTCTTTGTAACACAAAGATTTGAGTTCCTTTGTAAACTGATTTGAAATTTACTACCAAGAAGAACAAGAGCAGCACATTGTTCAACACAAGGGTATCAAAATTTGGCCCAAAGGCTGCTACAATATTCTGCTTCTAAATGGTGTCTGCAATCAAAAGCTAATTTTACCCACTGCCTTTAAAGCAGTTGTCAAAGCCAGTGCTGTCTGCTATATTCAGAGCAGTACTGACTGGAGGAAAGGATCCCTTTCTCTTGAAAGCCTGAAGTTAGTGCTCAATTAGCATGAGCTGAATTTCAGGCTGTGGGAGGTTTTTATTTGAATGCTCTTTGGACCACCTAAAACTCCTCCTGGATGTTTTGCGAGCACATAGGCTCTCTGCAGCTCCCTTCTGCCTGGCTGTCAGACCTGTCTGTAAAGCAAACAGCCAAAGCTTTGTCCATCTTTTTCTTGGCACAGTAAAGAGGAAGCTCATCGTCAAATTACGTGAAAGAGCTGCCATTCCTGTAGCACGCTCATGTCCAGCCAGTGCCAAATGCAGCTCAGTTGTAAGCATATTTTGAGGGAAATGGGGAACAGCTGGGATACTTGCCAAATGGAACATGCTTCTCCATGCTTCTCTCTGCTGGTGCAGGCTGATCTCTTAGAGCCATGCCCAGTCTCAGCCTATACTGTAAAGCCCTCTTTTACCCATCTTGATTATGCATTGCACAACTCTCCCACCTCTTTATCTGAATGTAGATGTCTTCTCTCTTGTCCTCACTCAGTATTCTTTTTCCTGCCTGTGTTGTTGCAGTTTGCCGTAATACTTGATTATGTGGTTCTAACATCTGGATTCAGTCAACTTCTCACTCTCCTGGTTCTTACAGTAGAACATGAATTGACACACGTAAACCTCCAGTGGTTTATAAAATATTGGTGGATGTATCTTAAATATGAAGTGTGCAGTGGCAGGATGGCTTGAACAAGGTGGTATCAAGGTCAGAATTTACCTTTCAGGTTTACAGGTTCAGTTCAGTGCAGGACCTTGTCTTTGCTGCTCTGCCTCAGCCAGCTGTTGTGATTGGTTTTAGCTGAATTCCTAGCAGACTTCCACAGGAATTGTAGTTGGCACTAATTCGACTTCTCATCCGTCAGCACTGTTGTTGTTCACGAAGAAATATTCCACATGCACTTCAACAAACCAACCTGCTCTCCTCCTGAAGCAAACCTCTAGAAAAGGAGCCTACTTTACCAAAGAAATAAAGAAGTAAAAGTTGCTCATTTCCATGTACCCACTTGAGATTTCTCCCCAGTACTGCTTTAATCAAATGCCTTAAATTTAGAGTTTCTAAAGGCAGCTCATCAGTGCTGGTCTTCATTCATGAAAAGATTACAATTGCTTAGTTTAGGACCTGGATCTCAGAGAAAAAATGCTCAAATAAAGAAAATCTAGGCATGCTGTCTTTCAAATCTGAACTCAGTGTTTTTCCTATATCTCTCTCTCTTTCAACTGGTATTAACCACGCACCTCTGCCAGAAGCATTGGGAAGTGGGTATTTATCTCTAAGAGCCAAGTACTTACTGGTCTTAATTGACACCTCCCTGTTTTCCTTCTTTGCTCCTTCCTTTCTGGTCTATAATCTCTTGAGAGGCCTGCACCATCTTCTCATCCCTGTCCTAAGTCAGCTGATCATAAGAAACCCAGGGACCAATGCCTCTCCATCCCAAAAGTACACCCTTTGCTGGTGTGGTGCTCTGTGAGCATCAGCAGGGGGTACCCATTACCTTTCCGTGTGATTCCCTATTATTCAGATGCTGGTTCTTTTCTCTAAGTCTTTTTCTGATTTGTTCCATATTATTGGAAGTACTTTGCCTGGCACACTGAAGGCAAGTTTGCAATAATTCTGCACAATAAGATATTGATTCCCTTTTCTGTATTTGACAAAAAAGGACTGAGGCATGAATTAGCTAATTGAACTGCCCACAGGAGTCCTTGGTCTCATCCCCAGGTACAGCAAGCAAGTCTCTTTTCACAGGATTATTCTATCTAAAGGTATCAACACATTTGTTGCCTTTATTTTCTTTTTTTTTTGCACTGCATCGTATTGAAACAAGAAGACAACAAATCATGTTTGCACTGGTCTATCAGAGTGAACCCTAGTACAACTCCTTTAGAGCTAACAATTTGCATTTTCTTATTTAAGTGTTTGTAGTCCTTTTTCTTTTTTGACTAGGAACCATTTTTTCATTGGAGATTGGCCACAGGAATGCAAGTTTTGGCTGATTCCCCACTTTCTGCTAGACTTTGCACTGGTGTGAAGTTTCCTCTGTGTTGGTAAGTTACCCAAAGGGACTGCTGCAAAAGGTTTGAAGATTTGGAATCTGTCCAGATCCGGTTGGCTACTGTTTTCCTTAGTGGGCATTCACTGCTTTTATAAATGAACAGTAACATTGGAGTGTCTTGTTTTGAACTTCTGTCACTCAAGTTCCTCTGGTCAGCAGAGGACAAATAGTGCAAGCTGTAGTCAGAGCTCCCTCATTACTTGCTGTGGAATCTGAAATTCTTTATTTCAGTGATAACTGCTTGGTAAGACTGTATGAAGAGACTGTGGATCAAATTGTTGAGATATGATTTATGCTAACTTCAGTTTCAGGTGGCTGTTGACATCCCAGAAGCAGAGCCTAAAATATCAACACTTTGTTTGTCCTTAGTCTAGTTTCCAGTCCCTCCAGTTGTTCCTTTCTGCCTTCACGATAGCACTGGCCAACCTGTCAGTGGGGCCATCCCTTCGGTTTCCGAGGCTGCACTGTAGATGAAGTCACTGAATTCAACAACATTAAAAACAACCTTTCAGGTTAACCTTTCTGGGTTATTTTTAACCCACATCCAGACGCACAGTGCCTCACAAAATAATAACGAAACACAGCCATGCATGCCTGCACAGACCTTTGTTTTGGGGAGACCTCCAATGCGGTTTTAACTCTCAGTTTCCCTAAAGGAGCTCAGTCCTTC